TTTTTTTTGCACTACTCTAGACCATCCGTTACTCGTGTACATTAAACATCTTGACATTATTGTGAGCTGTGCCTTTAAAGGGACGACAAGATTATTCGAATCTAGCTACCGTCTGTCAAGGAAAGTTGAAAGTATGCTGACAAGCAGTAAGAAGCTTTGAACTAAACGTATCCATGTCCTTGAGTTTGAGGCTGTTTACATAAGAGCTGGTATTTTGACTGTATCAAATAAGGACCATTAACAGGATGGAAACAAACGAATACTGTAGTATTAAAAAAAATTAAGGAACCTTTCTCATGTCCAGCAGGTGGATGAGTCGCTACAGTTACAGATAACGCCGCTTGACCTGTAAATGGAATTTTTGAATAAGTTGATAATCTAGCAATTCAGTGAATCCCTGGTTGAGGAAGAAGACTAAAAAGTTGTTGTCTATTTACTATCGTCACCCAGAACCGGACTTAGTGATATTAACAGTTTTTTCTCAATTCTGTTAATCCCCAAACCCACTACACGTGATCGGTGAGGGCAACCATTTTAGCCAATAAATGATGGCTTCCTATGAGGAAATCCGTAAAAGTAGTCAAGTAACAGGTATATCACGTACTACTCGGCGTTCTCATCCTATTTTTCCTCGATCTAACTATAGTGATTACAGAAAGAAGTGTCAGTAGTACTGCAGTGTTCAGGATAATGATGACGTACATAACCGACTGTACATTCGGTGGCATCGCTGAAAAGGCCAAAATAACCGAAATTTCAAAAACTCGAATTCAGACTTTTACGAAATTCAGCCAACTTGCAATACCTTGAATTGGCGTACATAAATCGATATGATCGTCGTTCATGAAAACGATTGAAGAAGCCACAATAGCAGATGCGAATAATAACGGTGGAATACACAAATATAAAACATACGGTAACGTAGGAAACATGTTGTGTCTGAAATGACACACACACTTCAGAAACACCTCCTTGATTAGGATGTTAATTACTTTTCGTCTAATTATAACTTTGCCCCTTATAAAATGGGGGACCAAATTGACCCCCCCCCCCCCCCCCTCTTTCACCACCCCTGCACTTATAAGGTCGAAAACATCGACCTCTTCATGTTTTAGATTATTTTGAGATCGGGAAGGAGAAGGGAGATGGGCTTGCTCGCTTGCTCATTGTACCTAGAAGCAGTTCAGGGTGGAGGGGGAGGAGATCGGTTCTGATCGCTGTTAAATTTTCAGGCTCTGAAAATGGAATGTCAGCTGAGCAAAGTTCTCCGATCTTGGTAAAGGTCCAGGAAAACTGACCACACATAAGTCAAGCTGCCGCGGTTGAGAGAAAAAAAAGATCCAGAAAAACAACCTAATCATCTGCGAAATCCGACTTAGCAGTTCATATCACAGCAAAATCTCCTCTATTCCCCTTAAAAACCTTCTTCGGACTTGGAAGTTGTCAGTTAAGGAAGTAAGTGTTACAGCTTTGCGCAGGCTATATGTAAATAGATGGATCAGGTTACTTCAGTGGTATTGTCACAGCAAAAAGATGATCCACGGCTAACATAAGGAACATCGCCGCCTGAGCCATAAAGACGAACACATAGATGCATGTTTGTCGAAAGCACTCCGACCGTGAAGAACCGTGAAATCTAAAAAGTAAACTTAGGCAGTACCACTTCCCCATGCTCTATCCACTTACCTTAACTGCCGAACTTCGAGATATAGCTCATTGAGAAGGCAGACTGCATGTAGAAAGGCGATAACGGTCACAATATAGCCTTGAATGGATTAATATGAAAAAAAAACTAAATTCGAAATAATAGGGGAGAAAGCTAATTACAAATGGAAGTCAAAAATTACCTAGAATGGTGCGCTCAATACCTTAGTCCAATTTTCTATTTCCCTTTCTGATAAACGTTATTACAGTAATCTATGATTGGTGACATGACACACATCTGTTTCTCATTTGCAAGTTATTCAGTCATTGATAGAAAAGGCTTTCCCCTCTACCAAGTTCCAAGGTTGTATGATGCAAGGTAGACGGATCTGTTCCTAACTGGAACCTAACTAGACACTAATTGTGTTATGTAAACGTCCTCTGGTTAGTGCAGGGGTGGTGTAGTAACAAGTGGTGCACTACCACATACGCATGGGAGCAAGTCCCGGATCGATACTCACCCAGGCCGGCAAACTTTCTTTCCCTCGGGATCGATTACTTGATACCAGACTCGTTTGAGAAGCTGTACTCTGGCTTGTACATTGACTGGCTACCACAGGTAATTGCATAGGCCACACACACAATCATACACTTCAATAATATTCTAAATGGAAAGGGGATGCGAAGACGCTCCTCCAAAACGGGCTGAAGCCTTCATCCTATCAAATTTTGCAGTTCAGCACGTATCCAGCGATTAGAGTTCCCTTTCTAGAGCGGATTTGTAACATGGACTAAGAAGAACGTAGTTCAGGCCAGTAATTAGAATGGATGAATGGAGTGGCGAGCTCCATTCTTGTGATTATTTCCTGGTAGGCGAATCAGAAAAATGTGAGAGAAATGCTCCTCGAAAGTTCAATTTTCAAAAAGCACCCGTTTCCTTCACACAACTCGATCAAATATCTCTTGACCAGTGTTAAGAAGAGACTAGAAGGAAACTGCAATCTTCTTTCCCTAAAGGAACACTCTTTTTCAGTTTGTTATGTTCTACTCCAGTGGGTGGCTTTACTACCCAATCCTGAGATCGAGTGTAAATAGAATCGCTTTATAGACTTGTAACAAATATCAAAGGGAAAAAAAGAGCAGACGGACTGTCCGGAGAAACTACTCTGAGACACCTTTTTTTCATTTTTGAGTGTCCATTATCGGTGCAGACCTATGAAAATCCAGAATTTCAGTCTTCATAATCGCTTAACAGTNATTTTGACAGTAAGATCGAAATTGAAAAAAGTGGAGTGCAATAGCGCTGATTGTGCGAATTTAGGCGTCTAAAAACTTGGACCTAATGGCACATCTCCAGTTACAGTGCATTTGTTGGATAAATTTTCTTTTCGCGTCGCATCACTCCTACATTTCTTTCTTCCAGTTCGTCCCTAGAGGCCCCTTTTCCTTACGTAGGTGGATGTATTGCAATATGTTTACCCCAACGAAGTGTCCATCGAACGAAAATTTGGCTAACACAATTTTGAACCCTACAAAAAGAGAACTTGTCAAAGTGGTCAGTCACTTCCGATTTCTCTTCAGAAACTCATTGGAATTCAATCGAACTCACAGATTTTATGTCGTAGGTGTCGGTCGAATGCATGTGCCCATATAATGCAGCAATTTCCAAAAAGTCCAACAAAACATAGAGTAACGGTTATCGCCGTTGTAAACACTTCAGCGGCTAATGAAGGCATTATCTGAAAGGGCAAGTAATACAGAAAATAATGAACAACACGCCACATCTACGACTTCGAACTCACAATTGAAGGAAAGAATAGCAGAATTATCGATTACGCCTACAGTCAATCAGCTTTCCAATCGATTATCGATTTTTCCGAATGAGTCTTTTACAGTTTGCAGTTCGAACTACTCTATCATTTGACTGAATTCGGTCTCACATTAATGTATCTCATGATCATTGCTAGCAAGGAACAGATCCCCGGCACCTCATTCTCGGGTCTGAATGAGATCCCGAAAAGTTCATAAAAACCCCCGAGTTGTGGCTACGCGATTTGATAGAAAAACATGCGAAAATTGAAAACTTTGCAGCAAATGAGAATAACAAGCCCCGAAACGTAAACATAAGCATAAACGTCACGTAAAATGATGCCGGAATGTAGGAAATGATATCAAATGAAAACACATCGGTCGGATCAACAGAATGGGAGCTAAACGATTATCGAGGGGTTCTTTGAATTGGTTGCAAAAGCAGGTGATGATTGAGCGATCCTTCCAAGTGAGCCGTCCAAATTGAGTCGCCCACACCCCTATGGCCGTTCTACAAAGCAGTCCAAACGGCTTCCGTCTGAGAGTACCCCAATGTCTTCTTATCCACTTAATTATTTGTTTGTTATGACCAACACAACAAGCAATAAAAGGTATCTCATCAAAATCCAAAAGAACAATAAAATCAACGAACAGAATAGTAACATAATGGAATAATTCAAATAATTTTAGAAAGAGGCCTACTAGGACCAGCGGAGGAAACGTAGTCGGTAGCCCTTGTAACTGAGTACTCCGTTCGTGATCAGTGTCAAACTGCTGGGGAGTAGAGAATCTAATAGAAAAGTCAGGCATGTACTGAGCATTCAACTGAAAGTTTTCTTCGTTTTTTACTTTTCATGGTAAACTTTGACGCTGGCCGTGGCTGGAATAATGTGCTATTAAGGCAGCTTCATCAAACTTCCTGATGCCCAATTACTCTGTTGAATCAATGCGGATGATGAGGACGAGCCCTCCGTTGTGATCAGAAAAAAATGAGACGTATTGGCAGTATTTTGAGTCAAAAAAGTGCACTTCACCTTAGAACCCGCTTATGCAAGTGCTCTGTTGAGAAAGTGGACGAAGGTTGTCTAGTTCCGAGCGGTGCACTACCACACACATAACCCAGAGTCTGCATAACTAGGGTCCAAAGTGAAGTGCACTTTTTTAACTCAAAATGCTGCCAGTAGCTCATTTTCCTTACCATTACATTCTCCTTACTAGGGCTCATCCCCATCATCAGCATCCATTGAACAGTGCAATAGAATATCTGCATCACTAAGTCATCATCGATACTCACCCGAGCCAACCAATTATTCCACCTTCCTCTCTGGGGACCTTTATCGGTGCAGACTTATGTGGGAGGATAAAAGGACGTACATCTACATCGTCTAGTCACCCGAAGTGATAACAATGGCAATATACTCATACAAACACCAGTGCCAATTTGAACCGAAGTCAAATGCTTAGCCACATCCCTTAAACGGGGTCAGTGTCGAAACTCTTCAAGACATACATGATTTCTGAGAAAATTCTGAAGCAGGAGAAGAGCGGATATGTGCCGGACAGGCGACAAGATGGCTAGTTAAAGATGTAGAAACTTGCGATAATCGTGATGTGTGCCCTTCGCAAAAACGACTGCACCAAAATCGGCTTATCGCTACTGTTTGACGACATAATACTCGAACAAAAAAAGAAATCGAAAATCAGATTTTCCGGATACGTCATGCGATGTAGTAACGACAGTTGGACCAGGGCGATTACGGACTGGATCCCTCGGGAAGTCAAGCGAACACCAGGACGACCGCAAACGAGGTGGTCAGTTTTCTTCACGAAAGCTCTGAACGGAAGGAATGTTTCGCTCCGATCCCACGAGCTACTACGATCCACTTTACTGGTCTGGCTCGCGACNCGACAGGGACGAATGGAGGCGTAACTGACGCCCGCTCGAGGAAATCGATGATTAACGGGACGACACGTGATACAGGTGAGTACTCAGACATTAAGATGTCGTAAAAAAACTGATCAATAAAAGTGAAGCTAAAACGTGGGCAAATCAATATCGTCTTCAAATGTGAAGTGATGCTCGGAACAAACATGGACTCATACAAAACTCATTTCTTATCGACCTTCTTTCGCATGTCCTAAGACCAACAAGTAAGGAATAAATGAAAAACAAACGAGGTAGCAAACAGCCATCGATCGGTTGCAGGAAGAGAAACTTATTTTGTGAGTTTTATATTGATCCACTCGGATTTTTATTAGCTGGTGAATAAGAAAGCACCTGATCCTTCAGTTTTACGACCTAGAAGTGCTTAGGCTAGAGGGAACAGTGCTTCAGAGACGGAGCAAGTCTGGCTAATAACGTCTTCTCAGTTTATACTATACCTATAAAGTCGAGTTTTGGGTCAACCGGTCATCCCATTCGTCTTGGAAAACCGAATTATCCGTCACTATCAATCAATATTCGCATTTCTTCACTTCACTGAGGAGGTGTTCACAGCTTCTAAACGAGAAGAAGGAATATGGTTAAATGTACATACAAAGGGTAGAGATTCCGGGGGAGAGGGTAATCAACCTCGTTCCCGTGATGAGCACCCCCCCCCCCCC